ACCTAGGCAATAGAAATAAGAGCAAAATTAACAAATGGGATCTAATGAAACTTATAAGCTTTTGCACAGCAAAGGAAATCATAAGCAAAGCAAAAAGTCTACGGAATGCGAGAAAATATTTGCAAAAGATGAGACTGACAAGAGCTTAATTTCAAGAATATATAAATAGTTCATACAACTTAAAAAAAACCCAATCCAAAAATGGGCAGAAGACCTAAACAAGCAATTCTCCAATGAAGACAGACAAATGGCCAATAGGCATATGAAGAAATGCTCAATATCACTAATTATCAGAGAAATGCAAATCAAAACTACAATGAGGTATTACCTCCCATCAGTCAGAATGACCATCATTCAAAAGTCCACAAACGATAAATGCTGGACAGGATATGGAGAAAAGGGAACCCTTCCTTCTACACTGTTTATGGGAATGTAGTTTGGTGGAGTCGTTATGGAAAACAGCATGGAGATTCCTCAAAAGACTAAAAGCAGACTTACCTTATGATCCAGCAAACCCACTCCTGGCCATGTATCTAGGGGGAACTCTAATTCGAAAAGATACATGCACCCAATGCTCATAGCAGCACTATTTACAGTAGCCAAGACATGGAAACAACCTAAATGTCCATCCACAGATGACTGGATAAAGAAGTTGTGGCATATTTATACAATGGAAAACTACTCAGCCATCATAAATAAAATAATGCCATTTGCAGCAAGATGGGTGGACTTGGAGGCTGTCATTCTAAGTGAAGTAAGTCAAAAAGGAAAGAAAAATACCGTATGATATCACTTATATGCAGAATCTTAAAAAAAAAAAGACAAATGAACTTACAAAACAGAAACAGACAAAAAACAAACTTGTGGTTACTGGGAGGGGGAGGGGAGTAGAAAAGAATAAATTGGGAGTTCAAGATCTGCAGATACTAATATATATAAAATACATAAATGGCAAGTTCATACTGTATAGAACAGGAGACTACATTCAATACCTTATAGTAA